GACCTCCTTAGCTTCGCCCCGAATCTTGTCACATCTTACCGACTGCGAGCAAGTGAACGAGCACTGGGGTGCTACGGCAGTTATGGGCCATGCAGCCTAGCATCGAACGGGGAGGCTGTCTGAAGGTGTATGCATCCGCATGACCTCCGATCCAGTCATCGGTTGTTTGCATAGTTTCATGCTGGATTGAGCAGATCGCTGAGTTGGTATTCTGTCGAATTTGATATTCCCATTGAAAGTCGTTATTTAATTTGGTGCTTTGAAATCGTTGCCGATTCCCAGGATTTTCCGGATTTATCACTCATTTTGGCCTCCCTGCCCCGCACTTCCCTCGTCACACTTTCCTCCTCCTCTCCTTCAGACAGGCAGATTGGCCTCCGCCTAATTTAAAAAGGAAAAAAAGCGATTTTGTCTTCTCCGGCTATTTTGCTTGCTGATGCGCTTGTTTGATTGCCTCTTCCAGGGATTTACTTCAGCAGTTGCTCTTCAGGTCCCCGCCCAGAGAGAGAAAGTGTGTCATGAAGAAAGCGCTAGTTGGATTCGCAGAGCTTACGAAATTAGCTCGTTGCTCTACAGCCACTGCCAACTCCATTATCAATGTGCAACCGTATCGACGCTACGCAACACCGGTAAGCGCAGTACATTGCATTGGCATTCCCGGAGATGAGATTTCGTGGCAGTGAATACTGTACCACTCCTTCCCCCGCTTGCTCGTATCTTCGTTCCCCAGTTCCCGTTTCGCTTTCCTGCATCCTCAGCACCTCATCCGTCCTCCTCCTTCTGCGGCACACTTCCTCTTCTTGTTCGTTCTAAATTTATGGAGTTTCAGCAGCGTAGTTGTCCTGTTGAAGATCCGTATGCGAAATTCATCGAGCTTGCATCGAAAACGCAGCCGAAGACTGTTCTGATAACTGGTGCACTGGGCCAGCTCGGCCGTAGCCTGGCAGCTGCACTGCGGTTCGTTTTCGTAGCTGGTTTGTTCAGTTAATTTGACAAATTTTGCCTCAGGCAGGAAGTGTCATTTGCCCCAGTTCTTGAAGCATTACGCTGGCATCTCATTCCGTCGCCTTGAGAGGTTGTTCCGAAAATTAGAAATTGATTTGTCATGAAGCACATTGAAGTCCTGTAAAATATTATCTCTTTATGAGATGTTCACTTTTGACCAGTGATGCATCGCTTGATGGTCAGCCCTGCCGGCGATTCGGACGTTTGCTTTTCTTCTGAAGAAATAACCAGCTTAAAACGGGAGCTACTCAGTGACATGCTTCGATTCGATTCGAAAGCATCGTTGCAAAAGCTCTCGCTCTGTTTGATATAAAAAATTCTTTTTTTTT